CCCCAAAACCCCAAAACCCCAAAACCCCAAAACCCCACATCACAATAATTTGTAAGAGTAAATAGTAGCATTAAATTAATCAATTGACTAGTACATTATATTAAATTTATTTATGGAAGTAGAGATACAGTCTGATTTTAGCTCATAACTTAAAGGCTATATCAGCAATAGATCAATCAGGCAAAGTTCTGAATTGAGAAATGATAAGAAACTGCCTGAAATAGGAAATCTAAAGCTTGAAAGATCATTATTCAAGTCAAGAAACAATTTAAATACTTCTTAAAGAAATGTTTACAGAACTAATGTTCCTAACTAACCTCTTAAATAAAATTACTTGAGTACTTCGTTTCAGGCTAATACAATGATCGATTCTTAAAGTAAAAATAGTGAGATAAAACTTGACCCGCCAAGTTCATCCAGAAACAATAGGATGCAAACTAAAATTAATCGAAATTTTAGCATTTTTCAAACAGCTCAGGATAAATTCAGCGAATCTTAAGTTTTAGATATTCCACAGAAGAAAGATAAATGGGGGATAGATGGATATATGATTAGAAAATTTGATCCATTTTTAGATAAAACTTAGTGCGTAAAGATTAAAGATAGCAAAATAAAATCCTTTATTGATGATGCAGTTAAATAAAGAGACTTTATGCCATCCCCTTAGTCTTATGATGTCAGATCAAGTCTTATAGATAATAAAAATCACAGTTTCGGAGTTGGATAAAGAATTACTATTCCTGTTTTAATTGAATAAAGAGAAAAAAAGGAATTGAAACCAGGGCCAGGTGCCTACAATGCAAAATAATAATAAAGGCGAATCTTAGGAGCATTTAATCTGAGAGATTAGAAAACAACAGGATTTATAGAAGAAGCAATGTATAGATCGTCTTAAAGTCCGACCTCATATGAATGCAATTATGATATCGTCTAGGAAAAATCTCCAAAAGTTAAAATGCTTCCTCCAAAATACACAGCCAAGGATATTTCTAAAATAGAAAAAAATGATCTTCCTTCACCTACAACTTATAATCCTAATGAGAGTTTTAATTAGACTTAGACTAGGCAGAGTATAGTTAAAATCCACAAAGGAACTATTTTAAAATTTATTGATAATTATGCAAAATCTAGAAAGTTTGTACCAGGAGCCGGAACTTATAATCCAGACTCATGTTATAATTTAATTACTAAAGGAGCATCCAAAGGATGGAAATGAATCTAGATTAATGATTTGAAAGTATGAAATCTTTACTAAAAATTACTTCTTAATTTCATTTCTCTTGTTTAATTTTTAGCAACGGGGTTTTGGGGTTTTGGGGTTTTGGGG